AGCAAAACACAGAGGGTCCTTGGTCCGTGTTGTCAATGTTTGCCCGCGCCGCTCATGAACTCTGGATGGATCTATCCTGACAGTCTTGCGTTGTTGGTTCAACCGCGTGTTTCACTGCGCGCTTATCGCCCCTCTTGGCTTCCAACTCTCGCCGTTCCCACCACTACGGCTCGGAGAAATGTTCTAACCTGATTGAGACTCTTTACTTCTGGTCTTTCATCTAAAGTTTTAGTATCGTGCCGTCACCAGTAGTATCTCGCCCTTATGTATGCACCAAACAGAACACATAAATGCATGTGGGCGTTGCCATCGAAGAGCAACACTCAAACAAACAAGCGCTGACCAACCGCGAACGGATCATGTCCAGGTTCACACATAACCTATCTATGTAGCGATTCAGCGAGGATGATGATGTTGTTCTGCGGAACCTGGTGTGCTNGTCGATCTGCTCCCTGCTATTTGTGTCTCCTGCCTGCGAGCCGTCCGGAGTGGTCCCTCCGGTTCTGCGGCCCGTCATCCTTAGTGGACTCCCTCGAGGGAGTAAACTACTGTGTTGGTATGTCCGTACTTGGGAGGAGAAGACACGCTTTAACTCTCTCTGATTAGGCACCCGCGGGAGCGAGGAAGGAAGGGAAGAAGTGGCCCTCCCAAATTCAAGGGGGCCCACACATAGTAGCTTTTTCAGGCATACGCATGCTACTGTCTACGTACCCCCCCCGTGCTGCTAGCAGATCTACCATGCTCGTATCCAGACACACGAACACCCTCCCCGGTTCGTCAAGCTATTGACAAACCATCAGTGGGGCATGGGTACTCCAGATCTACTTCAGTTACTCATACAACAACGGGTGCAAGGGAAAAACTCGGTCATCCGGACCAAAAACCCTCGCCTACAAACTCAAAACATAATAGAAACCGTCGCTATCACGAAGGATTCCAACGGCCGCACTATCAGGGCAGGACCAAGGCAGGACAGATTGGACAGGCCACGCTGATTACACACCCGAAGCAATTGGTCAAAAACCCTAAGCTCCCGCC